GAGAGTAATCTAGAGCACCATAAAAATAGTCCAATGCTCTAGCCCCCAGGTTCCATGTTGCTAAAAACATCTTTTAGTGTTTATTGCATATACCATTAGTCAAGTTACAAGATCATGGTCTATAATTGAGCACTAGCAACATACTACCCAATGCAATAACCCATAGGAATCATGGTACAGGGTAACAAAGTACTAGAAAATCCTTACTGGTAGTCAAGGTAGACATATGCAGTATGAATTAAATGATTAAAGGTGAATAGGACAACAAGAATGATCCCATGCTATACTTGTCTTAAACTCTGATCCTTCTTCTAGTCCAAAGCTTCAAAGGAATTCCTTCTTGATCAACACATAAAGCTCACCGACTGGACATGATCATAAAGCACCACACAAGCATCCATGCAATCATACACAAAGCAAATAATAGAACTAAATTAGAATAGTACACCAAACATAATAAACAGCAAGTAAAAAGGTTTTAAAGATGTTCTACACGTTACTACGAACACACAGACGCGAAAAACACTCTAATCGGAGCTATAACAAAAAGTTATGAATTAAACAAGATTTCCTTTAATAAAATAATAGATTAAATCTAACCTTAAATTTTAAAGGTTGAAAATATATTTAACAGTTGCTTGAACATGTAGATTACGCAATTACGAATCTAACGCAACTTGAATGGATCAAATCAGAGTTAAAACGGAGATTTTATGGCCTACCGAAGGTAGTGGCAATTTTGTAAATAGATGGAACTTGATTTTTGAATTTAAAATAAATAAAATCCAATTTTAAATCTGCCCAAGGACAGCGGGTATTATTTCATAAAAAAGTAGGGGGTCTTTAGCAAAACTGCAGGGATGGCGAGTTCTATATTAAAAATCCGAGGGGGTTTTTGGCAAAAAGGCAAGGCAAAGGGGTACCGGTTGATCTAAACCATTGGATCTGAAATGGACGGCTAAGATTAGAAGGGAAAGAGAGGGGATCGGCCGACCGGAACAGGGATGGCGCAGCGGCGATTTCGTCGACGAAGACAGATTTCTCGTCGGAGAAATTGGGGAAAGAGGATACCGACCTCGGATTGGCTCGGGGTTAGCACTGGGAGCTAGATAGGACCACGGCGAACTCGGCTCTGCAATCTACGGCGGCTAAGATCGAACAGAGGTGGCTGGCTACGAGCAATGGCGGCGGCGGAGCGACGGCAACGCGGTGTGGGCCAAAACAAAGCGAAAAAGAGGGAGATAAAGGGCTCTGCGGGTTCGAGAACTCTACGCGAAGCTCGGGGATGCTCTTACCGTGATGGAGTAGCTAAGCAACGTGGCGACGACGGCTTCTTCTCTGCGAGATTTGAGCGGCGGCACTAGGGCACAGGATGGCTTAGCGGCTTGGTTACGGGTTAGATGGGGCGGCGGGTGCTCGGGTGGATGTGGCGGACACGACCTACTATTTATGGGGGGGCAGGAGGCTTGGTCCGCACGGCAAGGCGTGGTGGCGTGGGCAGCGCAGACTCCCCAGCGGTGGCTGCAGAGTCCCTTTCGACTCCGACCAGAGGTAGGAGAATGGGAGGCACCGCTGATGACTGGGCCCCATCGGTCAGTGAAAGAGAGCGAAGAGGAGGCGGGGCGGGGAGTGGGCCGACAGAAGAGAGGGGAGGCGCGGCTTGGTGGGGCCGACTGCTAGCTGGGCCATGGGGAAACGGGGAAGGGAGCAGGTGGGCCGCGCGGGTAAGCAAGGCCGAGAGGGCCAAATGCCAGGTAGGGAGAGGGAAGGAAAAAGAAATTCCTTTTTATTTTCTTAAACATATTTTCAAATCCAAATTCAATTCCAATTTAAATCCTTTTGAAATTTTGATCAAACCCAATCATCACAAATAAATATGCAGCAGCATGTATGCACAAACTTATAGTTAGACTTTATATTTGATGTTAATTTTAACAAAGTTTTTATATTTTAAAAAAAATGGCATGCTCACAAAATACATAAATAAATTAAATTCACCTATTTTAAAATCTCGCAAATTTTAGGGTGTTACAATTATACAGTGGAAAAACATTATATTTAAACAAATTAATACTCCAAAAAGAGGTATTTCGTGTCCATATCACAAAATATCCACGTAATATACCACTTCCAAAAAAATTCTTGCTATTATATTTAACTTCAGGTTTTTAATAGCAAAAAACATATGCTACTCAAGCTCATATGCAAGATATTGCCATAAAAATACATAAACCTTCGTGGCTTTTCAAACACACAGAAAAATAGGTTCAAAAAATGTATAGATATAATGGCACGAAGGCACCAAGGTGTTTGTCAGGTGCATGACAGCTCCTACTTCCACTCCTAGTGGTGAGCAGTGCATGACGGTACAACCGTCTAGGCCTACATGTACCACTCTTAGGCACGTCAATGGCCGCACCACGATGGATTGATTGCATTGAACCATGATATGGGCATAGCGGGTATATGGATGGTGTCGCCGCAACAGGCGATGACGAGGCTGCACCGCCATAGTGGAGAGCAAAGTGTGTATTGGCCGCTCAACGGTGGTATGTGGGTAGCACAAGCCGAACGACGATAACTTCGGGCATCACGTATATTGTGTCCGACTCCGAGTGATGTGGCTTTAGTACAGTAATAGTGGGGCCAATATGCCTTCCAGGCTGGTGCGGGTTATGCCGATAAAAAAAAAAGTTCTATCTGAAGTTCAGACAGGCATGCACTACTACAGAAATTAACTGTAGGGGCGGCTCTAGAGCCTCTGTAGGGGCGGCTGCGCCAGCCGCCTCTCCCAGGGTGTTCGTACAGAGGGTGCCTCTGTAAGAGCGGTTTCCTAACCGCCCCTGAAGTTCCCTCTGTAAGGGCGGCTGGTGTTTTCAGCCGCCCCTACAGTGACCTCTGTAGGGGTGGCTGGTGATATCAGCCGCCCCTGTAGTGGACTTCTGTAAGGACGGCTATATCACCAGCCGCCCCTGCTGTGTGTATTTGTAAAGGCGGTTCAATCAAGAACCGCCCCTACAGTGGATTTTCCAGCAAAAAAATAAATAATTCAAATTCAAATCTGACCATATATATATAATTCAAATTCGAATTGGACCGCCACAAATATACATATATATATCCACAAACACAAGACCATTATTTAGAACATCATCACAAGTCATAATTCACAAAAGTCCATCATTACAACATAGTCCATTATGAAGTCCATCATTATAACATAGACTGCATATGAACTTATGGATTCTTTTCAAATATGAACTTATGGATTCTTTTCAAATATGAACTTATGCATACAGTTTTCATAATCTGTGAGTCAAGTATCAATGTCAAAGCTTAGATTTGCAGGGTTACCTAAGTTCCTATTTACACACTGAAAATTCACTAACAGAACACTAGCAATATACTAGTAAAGATCTTTTACCCTTCCCGGCAAACGCTATGATAACTGTTAATGTAGCTTACTTGAGCTGCATCTGCATATTCTCTGATCCTTGCAAGGACTTGCAGGCCAAGCTCTTGAGCCTTCTGCCCACTCAACAAAACTAATGCAGCAGCCCCATCACTGATCCATATAAAAGCAAATTAGATATGATCAATTGTAGCTACACAAGCGGATAGTAGGCAGTACACAATGGACAGTACCAGTCAATGGAAAAAATAGCAAGTGCAAAGTGAGATCAAAGAATTTTGAAGACAACCAAGAAGAAATTATACACATAGACTGATTTTGCTTTGAATGGGCATAAGACATTACAAACACTTCTTTACTTTCTTATGTGATAATAAATCATTTACAAGAAGAAAAGTTGCAATCTATTTAACAAATTAGAGCATACCAAGCCCCTAAAACATAATAGGAGTGCCAATTCATAAGAACAAACACAAGTCAAATATGGTATGCATAGGACAGCAACAAAAATAACAAAATGCAAGCATAATGTAAAGAAAGAAGTTAACTATCATCATAGCTAATCACAAGAATGATAATACAACTGAAGATAAACTTAAAAGGACTTATACTAGAAGCATTTCCAGCTGTAACGGTACCACCATTCTCCTTGAAACTTAGGCGAAGTTTCTTCAGTTTTGCTGGGTCAAACTAAGAGACACAAGAAATTGAAGATCCTTATTATATTGTAAGTGTTTATTGGATCTTTCGTTTAATATGTCGAAAGTTTGATCAATGCTGCTATGACATTTTCTTAGTAACATGTGGAGCTGCAGCTTCCAATATAATAAGAATTGAAGATCCTTTGTATCATTAGCCCATATACAGCATCCTATTTGACAAACGACAATTACTTCATATATACAAGATAAAAAATGATAGGCAAGTAACAAGTGAAACAGCACGCTATAAATATATATAATTATCAATCAACAAGGATTGGTCAGTGTATTGGCGTTTAGCTCAGAACAGCCTACACAACAATAAAAGGGCACAGCTTCATCGTTTCATCTGAATTTTGATCTTAGTTATTATGCCTTGTGCTTTCTCTACGGTGCCTTTTTATCCTGAAGAGAAAACTTGACTCTGAATTGTCCCTTACTGAAGAGTTGAAAGAACATAGACCTGAACTAGCATCAATTATCAAGCACTTTGACTAAAAGATACAACGGAACCAAGTATAATACTAGGAAGAACTACACATGTCTAGATTTTAGGACACCTATACATATAACATACTGAATTATGCATACTACAAAATAAAACACATCTCACAATCTACTTATCTGATCCATAATACAGGAGCAAAAGTCAGCATTCCACTAATTCAAGATTCCTCACAAAATAGCGCAGAACTAGAACTAAATCATCATATGCTAATTATATGTAACCACATGTAGCAGCAGTAAATCACGTAGCCCGAAGATTGCTTCACTGTATGAGCAAACCAGTTTCAGGCTGTTTAATGACACACAAACTCCTCCTAATTTCACAACCACATCTGACGACGCTCCAAAACACTGAATTACACCAATACAACTAAATGAAAATGAGGCAGAAGCAGAGGGGGGGGAGAGAAACGGACCTGGTACCGCTTCTGGAGCATGTGGTTGTTGTACTGTTTGTCGGGCCTGAGCTCCTACACGAGCTGCGGGTTCTGGAGGAAGGCGATGAGCGGGGCGGCGGCCTCCTCGAGCGACCTGAGCCTGGAGACGACCTCGGCGCGGCGCTTGACCATGTCCTCGGGGACGTCGTCGGTGCCGTGGAGGGACTTGTGGATGTCCATGGCATAGTCGACCATGTTGGTGCCGCTGAGGAGGCGGATCTTGGCCTCCAGGAACTCAGGCTCCGAGTAGAGCTGCCGCTCCTGGAGGAACTCCAGCAGCGGGAACACCAGGTGCCGGTCCAGCTGCGCTGCCATCAGCGCCGTGAGGTCGTGCTCCGCCAAGGCTGGTGCTCCGAGCTCTCTCCCAGCTGCCTCCCGGAGGCGGCTAGGGTTAGGGTTCCTTTCGGGTTCGAGGGGGCGGCGGCGTGGGGAGGAAGGAAGCGAGGAGGGAAGCGGAGAAGGGTTGGGGTTGGGTTTTGGTGGTTTTGTGGTTCGGCTGCCGATCGATGTCGTCCCGCGTTTAAACGGACGGCCAGATGAGGACTCTTCTTTTGGACCTTTTTTGGTAGAAATTGGAGCTGGCTTGGTGGCTTGTTCCAGAAGTAGTTGGATTCAACTTATCTTTTCTTTTACTAGTTAACAAGACATTTGTATTTTTTTTTTTTTGCTATTTCTATCTTGCTTGTCGTTATCATCTTATCCTAGTATTTCTATGTTTATTTGAAACCAACATTTTTTATGCTTGTATCCGAATTTTTTGTTGTATATAAATTCATTTGTTTTTTATTTTTCGTTTCAATATATGGGATTTTTTGAAGCATTTGTCACCTGTTAAATTTGGGCTAAAACGATCGTATATCGATCGTGGATTATCTTCTTTGTTTATGCGGTTTGGAGTGAGAGAAAATATCGTCTGGCATTTGAAATTCTACGATCGTTTACGACCAAGCGAATAGGGCGTGTATTTGTATCCAATTTATTTTTGTTTTGACGAGTTCTATTTCTTTTTTACTTTCATAATTTTAAATCCCTCGTTAGTTCTTTTAGCAACTTTGTACATGTATATATATTCTATTTTCTTCTATTTTCTAATTCTAATTGGACTGCGCTTAGCTTGGAGGAGGGCAGCTCACGAACCTGCGAGGACGATGACAAGAAGGAACAGGAGCGCCGACCGGAGCGGGGCGAGATGGAGCCGGAGGAGACGGAGTGGGACGGCGAGTGGGAGGAAGAGCCCGAGGAGGAGCGAGGCAGCGCTGAGCGGCCAGCCGAGGCTTCGCCATCGTCCCCGGTGGCGGCGGCGGCGGCGGGCGAGGGCGTCCAGCGACCACTGTGGTGTTGGGCTAGGGTTTTGAGCGGGTTGGGGGAGGAAGAGATTGGGAGTCTATGGTTCCTCCAGACTCCGATTATTCAACCCACCCGTGTCGATGTGGAAAGAGCCCATGTCCATGTCACATGTAAATAATAAATAATACATTACAAAATTTTATAATTTTTTTAGATATATTTACATATACAATAACTAAAACAACTACAACAGTTTTAAATTGCAAAATTGAACATTTAAAAATGGGGAAAAATTAAATTTTAAAAAATTAAAATAAAAAATACTAAAATAATTTTGAGACACCAAATGATCTCAAATGAAAATTTTATAAACATCAAAGTTGTAGAGGTTATGAAGATTTACAACTTTTATTTTGATCATCTTGTAATTTGACAAAATTTGAACCTTTTAAATTTGAAATTTTAAAAAATGACAAGTTCGAACCAAAATTTAAGACCCAAAATAATTTCAACATAAAAAGTGATGAATACCAAAGTTGTTCAACTCATTAATATCTACAACTCTTATTTTAGTCATCTTGTCATTTGACAAAATTTGAACATTTCAAATTTGAAATTTTGAAAAACGACAAGTTCGAACCAAAATTTGAGACCCAAATTGATTTCAACGTAAAAAATGATGAATACCAAAGTTGTTCAACTCATGAATATCTACAACTTTTATTTTGGTCATTTCTTCATTCGATAAATTCTTAGCACACATTGTTCCCTAATCTTACACATGTCTCATATAGTTTATAAAACCTTATGAGAGATGTGTCATATTGATGAACAATGTCATTACCACTTTGTTATATGAAGAAATGACCAATACAAAAATTGTAGATCTTGATGAGTTATTCAACTTTGGTATTTATCACTTTTTCAGCTGAAATCATTTGGGGTACCAAAATCTTGTCTGAAGTTGTATTTTTTTTTAAATTCAAAATTTAAATTGCTCAAACTTTTCATATGCATATATTGACAAAACCAACAAAATAAATTGATAGAGCATGATTTTAGAAAAATTTAGGAAAAAAATCATCAGATTTGGAGTTAGTACGAGAAAGAAAACTAGTTACAAAGTTGACCCACATATTAAAAAAAGAAATTTCACTGTTCATTATGATCATGTAAGGATCATCTAGAATAGTGTGATTTCTCTTTTTAATCTATGGGTAAACATTGTAACTAGTTATTCTCCCTCATACTAACTCTAAATGTGATGGGTTTTTTTCCTAAAAATTTCTAAAATCTTGCTTCAGCATTTAAGTTTGATCAAACTTGGATGTGACAATGTTTTACACATTTTAAAATTTGAAATTAGAAATTTAACAAGTTCAAACCAAATTTTAAAACCCTAAATGATTTTAGATGTAAAAGTGATGAGTACAAAAGTTGTTCAACTCATCAAAATCTATAACTTTTATTTTGGTTATCTTGTCATTTGACTAAATTTGAACCTTTCAAATTTGAAATTTTGAACAATGACAAGTTCAAACCAAAATTTGAGACCCGAAATGATTTCAATATAAAAAGTGGTGACTACCAAAGTTGTTCAACTTATTAATATCTACAACTTTTATTTTAGTCATCTTGTCATTTCACAAAATTTGAACCTTTCAAATTTGAAATTTTGAAAAACGACAAGTTCGAACCAAAATTTGAGACCCAAATTGATTTTAACATAAAAAGTGATGAATACCAAAGTTGTTCAACTCATGAATATCTACAGCTTTTATTTTAGTCATTTCTTCATTCGATAAATTATTAGCACACATTGTTCACTAATCTTACACATGTCTCATATAGTTTAAAAAACCTTACGAGAGATGTGTCACATTTATGAACAATGTCATTACCACTTTATCATATGAATAAATGACCAATATAAAAGTTGTAGATCTTGATGAGTTATTCAACTTTGGTATTTATCACTTTTTCAGCTGAAATCATTTGGGGTACCAAAATCTTATCTGAAGTTGTATTTTTTTGAAATTCAAAATTTAAAATGCTCAAACTTTTCATATGTATATATTGACAAAGCCAACAAAATAAATTGATAGAGCATGATTTTAGAAAAATTTAGGAAAAAAAATCATCAGATTTGGAGTTAGTATGAGGAAGAAAAACTAGTTACAAAGTTGACCCACAAATTAAAAAAAGAAATCACACTGTTCCCTATGATCATGTAAAGATCATATAGAACAGTGCAATTTCTCTTTTTAATCTATGGGTAAACTTTGTAACTAGTTGTTCTCCCTCATGCTAACTCCAAATGTGATGGTTTTTTTTCCTAAAAATTTCTAATATCTTACTTCAGTATTTAAGTTTGATCAAACTTGGATGTGACAATGTTTTACACATTTTAAAATTTGAAATTTAAAATTTAACAAGTTCAAACCAAATTTTCAAACCCTAAATGATTTTAGATGTAAAAGTGATGAATACAAAAGTTGTTCAACTCATCAAGATCTACAACTTTTATTTTGGTTATCTTGTCATTTGACTAAATTTGAACCTTTCAAATTTGAAATTTTAAAAAATGACAAGTTCAAACCAAAATTTGAGACCCGAAATGATTTCAATATAAAAAGTGGTGAATACCAAAGTTGTTCAACTCATTAATATCTACAACTCTTATTTTAGTCATCTTGTCATTTGAAAAAATTTGATCCTTTCAAATTTGAAATTTTGAAAAACGACAAGTTCGAACCAAAATTTGAGACCCAAATTGATTTCAACATAAAAAGTGATGAATACCAAAGTTGTTCAACTCATGAATATCTACAACTTTTATTTTGGTCATTTCTTCATTCGATAAATTATTAGCACACATTGTTAACTAATCTTACACATGTCTCATATAGTTTATAAAACCTTACGAGAGATGTGTCACATTTATGAACAATGTCATTACCACTTTGTCATATGAAGAAATGACCAATATAAAAGTTGTAGATCTTGATGAGTTATTCAACTTTGGTATTTATCACTTTTTCAGCTGAAATCATTTGGAGTACCAAAATCTTGTCTCAAGTTGTATTTTTTTGAAATTCAAAATTTAAATTGCTCAAATTTTTCATATGTATATATTGACAAAACCAACAAAATAAATTGATAGAGCATGATTTTAGAAAAATTTAGGAAAAAAATCATCAGATTTGGAGTTAGTACGAGGAAGAAAAACTAGTTACAAAGTTGACGCACAGATTAAAAAAAGAAATCACACTGTTCACTATGATCATGTAAGGATCATCTAGAACAGTGTAATTTCTCTTTTAATCTATGGATAAACTTTGTAACTAGTTGTTCTCCCTCACGCTAACTCCAAATGTGATGGTTTTTTTCTTAAAAATTTCTAAAATCTTGCTTCAGCATTTAAGTTTGATCAAACTTGGATGTGACAATGTTTTACACATTTTAAAATTTGAAATTTAAAATTTGACAAGTTCAAACCAAATTTTCAAACCCTAAATGATTTCAGATGTAAAAGTGATGAATACAAAAGTTGTTCAACTCATCAAGATCTACAACTTTTATTTTGGTTATCTTATCATTTGACTAAATTTGAACCTTTCAAATTTGAAATTTTAAAAAATGACAAGTTCGAACCAAAATTTGAGACCCAAAATGATTTCAACATAAAAAGTGATGAATATCAAAGTTGTTCAACTCATTAATATCTACAACTTTTATTTTAGTCATCTTGTCATTTGACAAAATTTGAACCTTTCAAAATTGAAATTTTGAAAAACGACAAATGGGCACTGCGGGGGGTGGTGGTGATTGAGCCGCCTCACAGATCTGCCCCAAACTGTAGGGCGGCTCAGGTTACCAGCCGCCCTGACAGTTCTCACACTAACAGGGGTGGCTGAGCTGCTTTGAGGCCCGAGGCGCCTTTGTGAGGCGTCTCCCAACCCCACCGCCCTCACAAGAAAAAAATATTCCTGTTCCTACAATAAAAATCTGGCGTAGTGATGTCCCACAATGGTACGTCTAGCATGTGCTTGTTCAAGACAAAAAATAATAATAATCAATCTACTAGCATTCTTGATTGATCTAGTAGGACTTGAAGCACACATGTATGGCAGCACGATTCAATAACTGCACTAACAGCTAGCATATGAGCATCATTGACCGTGCTCCGTGGAGCGTACCGAAAAATACTAGCAGAACACATCAAGTGTTATATGAAAAAAAATCTACTAGTCTTGTACGCTTCAAATGGTCTACTAGAAATATTAAAATCTACGGGATTTATAATATAATTAATCTAGTAGAACAATAATAGCGAAGAGAATCAACGACAAACCGTGGCACTTTCGTTGCTGTGGAAAAAATTCGTGCCGCGTAGGGCATATAGGCTAGGCCGCCATGACCTGCCTGCTCGATGACTTGCCCATGGGAACGGTGACCAGTCCTTTGACCTTGCTTTGACCGTTGTTGAATTTGCTGGGGCATCGCCCATGACAATGGCAATCGGCCATCATCTTGTCTCGGAGGAGTTAGCGCCCTCATGATTGACAAATAGGTCATATGCACGCCAGAGCACACACATGATATTAGAAAAAAATATCAACGTGTGAATCAATAGATCAATCCTTGACTAATGGCAATAAAAACAAGACTGATCTATAGATACAAATAGATTAAGAACCACTTACACAGTTTGGGAACCACCAGGCCCCGGGCGGGTGGGCACATCAGTGACGAGCACAGCTTTGAGCAGGGCCATTATTGATGACGTGATGGTTCTTTTTGTACCTATATATATATATATGTACCATTACCGATGGGTTGCTGAAGATGGCGAGGCAAACTGGAATCGAATTGATTTGGGCAGCGAGGTCGCGCAGGGAAGCAACGGCATTAGGGCGCGTGCCTCGATTCGCTCAGGTTGAAGGGCGCTCCGACGGAAGGAATCAGTCGGCGCATCAACAACGGATCCGAAAAGTATAGATCAATTCGTGATTAGCAACAAAAACAAAATTGATCTAAAATTCAACAATAAAGAACGACTCACTCAATTGGAATAGCTTTTGATAACGCATTAAGATTCGGCCTATTTACGGATTGCCAGATCCGTTTTTCCATTCCCGATCCTAAGAAAGGGACGATTATAAGTTATAGATAAAT